CGAACGGACTACAAATCACAACTGTTTATTCGGCTTCACGGCGTAAAATAACAAACGTTAACAGCGTCTTGAAATGCATAATACGAGTCCCGCGTGTAAAACAAAGGCGCATGCAAAACCTCCTCTTAAAAAAGAATACATCGTCTACCTAAGATAGAAGCACTTGGAAAGGGAGGAGTGTTTCCGCAGGCTGCTCATGGTGTTGCCTGGCAATTGTGCGGGTTATAAAACACGTTCGGTGCCGGGGAAAGATGCCCCTGACCCGGGAACACGTGTTGCCTGTGCGTTGCCGTGGGGGTATTTAAGTTTCTCTCCAAAGGCAGTTGAGAGGGGTGAGATTATGGGGTCACCCCCTCCCCTCCCCAACCTATTAATGCAGCAGCTGTTGTAACAGAAAATTACTGATCTTCGTTATGAAGGTCCACCAAATGGCTAGCAGTGGCCACAGGTAAAATCTTCAGATCAGTCTATTGCTAGGACCTGAATTCAGTGGAAAGCATCACCACAGTTGTTTTATAAAAAGATAAATGTTCAGAAATAAAACAATACATTATGGACCTGAATCTGAAATGCACCCTCAGAAAAATACAAGGATTTCACCAACTACTTTAGCAGGACTGGGAGCCCTTCTTGGCACAGCTTACAAAGGCCATGTCAGAATCACCCTCTCAGTCTTCAATTTCTTTTAAATTCAAGCATTCAGATTCAAGCATTTTTCTCAATTTTTGCATTATTATGCTAAAGAAAATGCTTTTAAAAGGATTTTACTTCAGTACTTTAAGAAAAGTAGCCATTCTGCTTTAGAGTTCAGCCTCCCCTTTGCTAGGGATCCTGTTTTGTGCTGCCCAGATATTTTCTATTTTTTAAAAATAAGGGAAAGCGAAGGCAGGAGGTGAAACAGTCCAAACGCGAATGATTGGAGAAAAACAGTGTGTGGCAATCAGTCATATTTTGCTGTTGGGGACAATGTGCAGTGAAAACTCCCTGCTTTTCCTGTAATGATCTCTGCCTGCGGACAGACAGAGGGCACGCTCCATTAGCCACCTGTACGTGCAATCTCAGGAAGCAGAAATCCCAACCTTCTGCCTGGGAGCTGCTTCGAAGGTGCTGCCTGCACAACTGATCCTCAGCTGAGCTGGTTTGGTAGCCTCCATCTTAGAGGAGGTGGGGGATCGCCCAGGTGCTTCCTGCCTAATGAAGCAAGCGGCGGTGGTCATTTAAAAAACTGTACGTCTGTACAAATTTGGGCATGGCTCCAATTTTGGCTCTTTTTACTTGCTAAAGGGCTGTCCCTGCTATGTGAGCAGGACGGTGAGGAAGCCTTGACCAAGTGCATCCAAAGTCACGCGGCACTTTGGAGACCTAGCAAAGGCCCAGGCATGGATAGCTGGGCTGAGCACAAATACTGTTCAGGATTCAGCCATTTTCTTCTTGGCGCTGCAGAATAAAACACAAAATTACTCCAAATGTGATCAGACTGAAAGCAGAGCGCAGCTCCTCATTTGCAGGATTTAGGATTTAGTTGGGATATGTACTAACGCAAAGGCAGGTAGTGTGGAAATGGATGGTGCCATTTGAATGGGACAGATTAAAGCATTAAATATAAGCTCTTTAGTAGTGTTACTTGCACAATCCTGGTTTATTAAAACAAACTAAGCTTCTTAAAAGTGAAACTGCCCTTAAATGAATAATACTGTCTCAGTTCCAGTTCTGACAGAACTGACTTTGTTAATTTATTTTCCCTTTCAAGTCACTCCTGATTCTTGTGTCTCATGTAGCAACTGCCATTATATTTTGATTTATTTTGGAAGTTAAATCTTTACCATCAAACTCCCTTGTGTAAGTCTGAGACATCAGGAATATGCTTCTCTCTGTATTACATTAAAAAACAAAACAAAACACACAACAGAAAATGCTTGGCAAATCTGACCCTGGCCCCAAAACACCCATGCTCAGAGGGAGGAGGCAGCAGGCAGTGCCATCCTCTGATGCAGCTGCCCTGCCATGGGGAAGGGGACAGGTTCCAAGCCAGGAATGCTGCAGCACTGAACACTAAGCAGCAGGTAGGGAGGCAGAGCTGGCCCATACCTTCAGCCAGCTGGGCTGCTGATGGAGCCTGGGTACTGGCCTGTGGCCACCTCCTGTTTTTTCCGAACTGTTTTCACTTAAAAAGCAGAACAGAAATAATCCTCCCAAACTCGAAGATCCCTACTGTGAAGAAACACAGACGTGCACCGGACAGGGCTGGATTGCATCACTCGTATGTGAAGGTTACATTCCCACTGCTGAAAGTCATGTTTGTAAGATCTGATTTAAGATCTGATTTCCTCTAATACACCATTGAGCCATAATTAGGCAGGAGGCTGGAAACTCGTCATCCAAAACTATCAGAGATCTATTTTCAAAGGCACCAAAAGTTAATGGAAGTAATTTGATTTCTGCATTGGCAATCTCTACAGGCTATTGCAAAGTATTAAGCTGAGTGGGTTTAACACCAGAAAGGCAAATAGGTTCCTAGCAGTCATGACCTCAGACAGCCTCTTGCTTTCCTCCTTAATAAAACAGGGCAATAAAAAACAGGTTTAACACTGTTAGATAGGGAACACAAGACTGCTCCACTTATTTTTTCTGCTTCAAAAAACAGCCCCTGCCAAGAGGATAAGGGAGAAGATTTATCAACACCATCTCCAGGGTGCTGCAGCCCCTGGACTCAGCACCCACCTACTCGTACAGCCTGCCTCGTGGCCAAGGTTTTCGACATACTGGCAAAGGACAAGTCCATTTCTGGAGCAAGGCGACAGGTGTGCCTCCCCGCAGCCCTTCTCACCTGTTGGGAGGACGGGATGTGCTACGGAGATCAGCCAAGTATGAAAACGGAGGGAAGCGCCGGCAGCTCAGGCGCTGGCTTTGTCAGAAGGCAGCAATATGGCTTTGACACTAGAGGGGCAAGCCCAGACACTGCTGACACACAGTCAGTCAGTGCAACCTGTAACTCACTCCCACACCTTCACTTCTCCTCTCGGGGCCAACCCTTTCCTTCTCCCTGCTCCTCTACAGCCTCTCCTCCAACTGCCCAGCTCTGCCAGGAGCTGGGCAGAGCCACAACAGCGAGAGAGGCTCTGTAGGAGCGTGGCTCCGGACACCATCTCAGGCAAGCTGCCCAACGAGCTGTCTGAGCCCTATATGGCACTTTGCAGGAGCTACAGTCTGTGCAGAGGCTGAGAAATTCACCCCTGGCAAGGCAAAGAGGGTTTAGTGTCCTTGTTTTGGAACAGGGATGGCTTGAGCTGGAGACATTAGCAGGCATGGCTCGTGCTTGACAGAGTCCAGATCAGCCCTGGGGAGCTCCTGGTCCTTGCTGTGGCTTCAGACCAGACTCGGTCTCTCTATTTCAGCCTCACTGCTGAGCTTGGGTGCCCAAAGAGAAGGATGCAAGCCCATGAAATCCATATTCTGAGAGATTTAGCAGAGAGGAGGGTTTAGTGCAGATGAAGGTAAAAAAAGATGATGGCACGAGAGCCTGGTCCTCGTTGCCCTGGCTGCTGGACCAGCCACAGCCACGGTGGCTCACGTGTCCTGTGACAAGAAAGGCACAACGCTGGAGACACCCACCAGGGCCAGTGGCCCGTTGGAGGCATTTCTTAAGAGCCCAGCCTTATCTTGCAACTAAAGAGCAAAGGCAGAAGGACTTTGGTGCAAGACCACAGACAATAATAAATGCTGACCTGTGCAAACTTCCACGCTGAGAAACAAAACCAAAGTGGTGATGGAGAGGCAGGCGCTGAAGCACCCAGAGCATCCACCACGGCAGGATGGCAAGGGTCCAAGCCCGTTGGGTGAGGTTCGTCACATACGTGCAAATTTGGGCCCCCTCCACACCCCGTATCACCAGCAGAGGAGAGTTCAAAGGCAGCTGCCCTGGTGCCACACGCTCTCCAGCCTCGTGGAAATGAAATGTGAGGTTTGGGGAGACCCCATGGAACACACATGCACCGCACACTCGGCCACCAACCAGGGCAGGGGGTAAGCAGTGTCCTCACTTCACTCTTCCCGTGTGGGAGACAGACAGCCAGGCATCAGGTGGCCGGTGGCTCGTGCCCCTTGTCATGGGTGTCCCCTCTTCTGCCTCTCCTGCCACTCCCGTCTCAGCACTGCGATCTCCTGACCGTACCAGCTGTGCAGCTTGGAGAAGCAGTCTGTCTCCGGTGACGCTGGGCTTTCCGGCATACTCGGCAAGAGGCTGGGTGCCGGGAACCCCACAGCACTGCTGGCAGCCGAGCGCCGGCGTGGAGGCAGGGGTGGGGGCTTTGCGTGACCCCCATCACGGTCAGGGCAGGTGGTCCCCCCGGGGACGCCACTGCCCCACGTGGAGTAACCATTCTCCAGCACCGTGGGCTTCTCCTGGAGTGGCAGCAAGGCGGGGTTGGAGAGGTGCCTCTTCCTGCCGGAGGAGGAGGATCTCCGCGGAGACTTGCAGCAAGCGGCCAAACTCTTGCAGGCCTCCTCCAGCTGCTTCTCCAGCTCCCTCACCACCAGCCGCATGTAGTCAAAGCTGGCCCGTGAGAGCGCCTTCACCCAGGCCTCCATGGCAGCCTGCCCGTCAGCCACCAGCACGTAAGCCCTGGCGCCGGCATCGTCGAAGCGGATGGCAAAGGCAAACTCCTCGGCAGCCTCGCACAGCTCCACGGTGCAGCCCTCCAGCACCACCAGCCCCATAGGCTCCCGGCTCTCCCGCTCTTCGAAGTAGAAGAGGAGGTTGCCCTTGAGGACAAACCAGCGGCGCTGGTAGGAGGTGCCGTGGTGGTGGTGGGCATGGTGGTGATGCCGCTCCACCCGCTTCCGGAGGAAGCCGGTGGGCGAGTCGCAGGTGGCGTAGTGGGCCACGCTCCGCTCATTCAGCTTCATCACCCTGCCTAGGAGCAGAGCAAGAGAGGAGGAAGATGTTGGCTCGGAGCAAGGAGGATCTCACCCGCTCTGCCAGGAGAGGCCTGATCCTTCCCCGTCCCCACCACAGGGAA